ATGTCAAATAAGCGTAATTTTGTCCTCTAGCTCTTTAACTCCCTGTTTCCTTTTATTTTCCCGTGATAATAAAGCACCCTGGATAATGTGCTTGTTTACATTTGGGGATGCCATTGAGTTGAGGTAAATATAGAGACAAGTTCTTGATCTGGTTAGAGTATTATAAAATATAACAAGAAAGCACAAGTAAATGTTCTTGTTTGGCATTTGGCACACGGTAGATGTTCAATGATTTTTTTTTTAATTAAAAATTAACAAGTTCAACCGAGTGCGGTGGCTCACGCCTGTAATCCCCAGTACTTTGGGAGGTGGAGGCAAGAAGATTGCCTGAGACTAGGGCTTCGAAATCAGCCTGGGCAACATGGCAAGACCTCATCTCTATTTTAAATCAGAAAAATTAGCCGGGCTTGGTGACATGTGCCTATCATTTCCGATACTTGAAAGGCTGAGGCAGAAGAATCACCTGAGCCCAGCACGCTGAGGCTGAGGTGGCCATGAACATGCCACTGTACTCCAGCCTGGGCAACAGAGTGAGACTGCAACTCAAAAAAAAAAAAAAAAATTAACAAGTTCTATAATCCCAGCACTTTGGGAGTCTAGGTGAGAGGATTGCTTGAGCCCACAGGTTTGAGATCAACCTGGGCAACTTGGTGAGAACTCATCTCTACAATAAATCAAAAAATTAGCCAGGCGTGGTGGCGTGTGCCCATAGTTCCAGCTACTTGGAAGGCTGAGGTGGAAGGATCACCTGAGCCTAACAGGTCGAGGCTGCAGTGGCATGAGCATGCCACTGTACAGCCTGGTTGACAGTGAAACTCCAACTCAAAAAGAACAAGTTGAAAATTTTTCCTCTTTAAAACTAGTTTTTTTGGCCGAGCTCGGTGGCTCAGCCTTTAACCCCAGCACTTTGAGAGGTCGAGGCGAGTGGATTGCCTGAGCTTGCGGATTCGAAACCACCCTGGGCAACTTAGCAAGACCTCGTCTCTACAATAAATCAAAAATTAGCTGAGCACAGCAGCATATGCCTGTAGTTCTAGCTATTTGGAAGGCTGAGGCGGAAGGATCGCTGGAGCCCAGCAGGTTGACGCTGGGGTGGCCGTGAGCATGCCACTGCACTCCAGTCTGGGCGACAGAGTGATACTCCAACTCAAAAAAAAAAAAAGACTAGTTTTTCCCCCCTAGTGTTCCTGATAGGATTAGGTGGGGGATGAAAAATGTTCCTATAGTAGTTACGTTTTTAAATTCAAAAATTAGTTTTGTTGGCTTTTGTCTTGTGTTGTAAAATAAGCTGAACTTTGTTCTTTTTTTTTTTTTTTTTTTTTTGTCTTTTTGTAACTTTTGCAAACTCAGCTTTCCCCATTCTCATCTTTAAGGAGTCAAACTGTGCTTAAGGCTCCAGCAGTACTAGAAATGTTTGTAGTTTTGAAGTAGTTATTTTCTTTCTTTTTCTTCCTTCCTTCCTCCCTTTCTTTTTTAGATTAGAGAACAAAGTTTATTTAGAAAGTAAATTAGAGAGAGAGAAGAGAGAGGAGATTCACCTCCCCAAGGTAGGGGAAGGGGCCAAAGCTTAGGAAAACATGATGGCGGCCATAGCTCTAAGAGCACTTGACCACACCACAGTGTAGTAAAGCAACAGCCAAAGCAGTTATTTTGAAATATAAGTTTCCTTCAGTTTCTGAACTTTTGCTCTTTAGAGTCAGGACCCGAATCCATTTGGAACATTTTTTTAGGTAGAGCTGTCTGGAGAAAATGGTATCCCTCGTTTTTCAAACTCTCACTCTAAAGCTCAGGAACTTACTGGAGTCTGAGAGCCAGGGGTACTTGTATTCCTAGTAACAGACATATAAGGTTGCATTCAGGAGGAATAAAGGGCCCCCTGTCTGATGGAACTGAGACCGCTTTCAAGGTGAGTTTAGCTGAACATCGTGGAGAGCTGTCACATGCAGGCCAATGTGCTTTATGCACCGAAAGGCATAATAGCTCTTAGATTCTGCTCTTCTAGTTGCCCAGAGCCTTTATATGTGTCTTTGAAAGAATAAGAAAATTTGAGTATTTAAATGCTGTTTGGTGGGCAAAAATCTTTTCAAAATGTGCATCCATAGGGGAAGAATTACTAAAAGTGTCCTTATGGTGAGGATGCACCAGTTTGTGTCATGAGGAATGACATATCTCCTCCTTGCCCTCAGTGCATCTTCCTTAAGTGATGTCAACAATAGTTAGCTGACATACAAACCTTTTACAAGGTATGTTGTTTTAAAAATTATAAAAGTAACACATGTTCGTAAAAAATAGAACTATATCTGACAAAAGTAAAAGTCCTCTCCTCCATCCCAGTCTCATTCCTCTTCTCAGAGCTGCCACCTTTAATGATTTGGAATGTAATTTTTCAGACTATGAGGCTTTTGAAGGAGACTAAAAGGGAAACATAGCTGTGTGTTTTATACTAAAATCCAATCCGTTGGACCTTTTTTATGAATGAGTGTATCTTCTGGTTCCAGAGTGAACTCTGAAGCCCAGTCACCCTTATCACTAGGAAGTGTGTCACTGGCCTGCTGTGAGCCTTGCACTCCTCAGATGCTGGGTGCTGCTTAAATGGTCATCCAGCCCTGTTGGCCAGAAATGACATCCCTAGTAGGCAGAAGCAGGAATAAAGGTGACTGTGACAGGGATCAGAGCAGAAAGACCTCATTTAACTACCCTAATTATTTGGCCCTCTTCTTTAAAAGAGGGATGACTTGGGCACAGTGGCTCATGCCTATAATCCTAGCACTTTGGGAGGCCGAGGTGAGAGGATTGCCTGAGCCCACGGGTTTGAGACCAGTCTGGACAACCTGGCGAGACCTCATATCTACAATAAATCAAAAAATTAGCCGGGCATGGTGTTGCATGCCTGTCGTTCCAGTTACTTGGAAGGCTGAGATGAAAGGATCGCCTGAACCCAGCAGGTCAAGGCTGTGGTGGCCGTGAGCATACCACTGCACTCCAGCCTGGGTGACAGAGTGAAACTCCGACTCAAAACTAGAAAAGAGGGATGACTTTTAGCAAAGAAACACTGAAGATATAACTTCTCCATATACACATAGGAGAGGCCATACTGGACAGGTCATATCAGACAAACCTTAGTACAGGATGAGCATCCAAAATTCAAAATGCCCTGAAATTTGAGATTCTCCAAAATCCATAAATTTGGGGAGTTGACATGATGCCACAAGGTGAAAATTCTACACCTAAGAACTTAACACAGACTTTTTTTCATGCACAAAAATTATTTAAAATATTGTTTAAAATAACCTTTGGGCTACATGTATAAGGTGTATATGAAACATAAGTGATAGCTCATGCCTGTAATTCCGGCTACTCGGAAGGCTGAGGCGGAAGGATTGTCGGAGCCCAACAGGTCGAGGCTGCAGTGGCCGGGAGCGGCCACTACACTCCAGTCTGGGTGACGGAGTGAGACTCCAACTGAAAAAAAAAAAGGAAACATAAATGAATTTGGGGTTTAGACTTGGGTCCCATTCCAAAGATATCTCATTTTATATATATACACAAATATTCTAAAATCTGAAATCCAAAACTGCTGGTCCCAAGCATTTCAGATAAGGGATACTCAAGCTGTACTGTATAATTTCCATAGTGCTAGCCAGCTGTGGCAGCCCCTTACAGTTCATGGATCGGTCCTGTGAATACCTACCAAGTGACGAGATGTTAAAGGCCGCCGGTGTGCCTGAGTCTCTACACACCACTCAACTCCATGTGTCAACCATGAGGATTCAGGCATTTAGGCATTTAGTGTATCTTACCACCATTTTCATTTGTCTCTGGAGAGAAGACGACTGATACTTAACTTTTGGCTAAAACAGATTTTGCTTACACTGCACCAAGCACTGTTCCTAAGTATACAAGGGGGGACTAAAATAAAAACAAACTGGAATTATCTTTTGGAGGGCAAGCCCCTTGTAGTATACTCGGATTTGTTCATCTGCATCAAATGATCAAGTAAAGTTTGCTTTTTTTTTGAAAAGGCAGGATTATTTGAGAAGACGAAAAAGCTCCACAGTGGGAGGGGACTTGAACAAGTAAAGTTTTTCTCTGAGAAGGTTGCGTCATAATTAGTGAAGAAACATTCCAGGTTGTAGCAAACAGGTGACTAGTTGTTCCACCATGACAATACCCCTGCCTATACTGCACTGAATATTCAGCAGTTTTTGACCAAAAACAGCATGGCTCCCATGCTCCATCTTCCCTATTCACCCAGTCTCACCCCAGATGACTTTTTTTTTGTTTCTCTGGATGGGAAATGTCCTCAAAGGGAAACATTTTGCCAATGTGGAAGAAGTGAAACAAACAAACAAAAAAACCAGCAGAAGCACTAAAAGGCATCAAAATGGACGAATTTTAAAACTGAGCAGTGCAAAAAACATCTCAATAGGTGTATTGCATCTAACAGAGAGTACTTTGAAGGTCACTAAAGTTTAAACATGTAAGAATAAATACACATTTTTCTAAATAGATTCTGGGGTTTTTGGGGTCTTCTCCCTTGTACATTAACTTACTTAATCTTCACGGCAGCTCTATGAGTAACATACTCATATTATGGCCATTTTATAGATGAAACTGAGACACAGAGAAAGTCACTTGACCAAGTCACACAGTCAGTGTGAATCCAGTTTGGCTCAAGCACCATTTCCTCAGAAATGTTACATTTTTGTTATAATAGCTTTGCTAAGCTGTTATTCTCTGTCTTCTTATTCTCTAACTATTGTAAAAGTTTGCCAAACTATTGAAAAGAGTCCTGTGTTCTGATCCTGGCACAGACATCCAGATAAAATAATTTTCATTTTTCCATGTGCTACTTATTTTCCAGTTCAAGTTTCAGATTCGCTTGCCCTGTTTTTCTGTTGGAATACAGTTCTCAGAAACATTTCCCCAGTGTTACATGTGCAACCGCTGTCCAGTGCTTCTGCTGCTTTCTTTCACGCTGTCTCTCTTCCTCCTTCCAGAGTCAATGCATGTGTCGATGTGGTGCTCTCAGGGGTGAAGCTCTTGCAGACACTTGGCTTGAGTCCTGGGAATGGGAAAGATCACACTGTTCTGCATTCAAGGAATGATCTGGAAGAAGCCTTCATTCACTTCATGGGGAAAGGAGCAGCAGCTGAGCGCTTCTTCAGTGACAAGGACGCCTTTCATGACATTGCCCAGGTTGCGTCAGAGTTCCCAGGAGCCACAGTAAGTCAAGATAGGGTGGGAAAGGATGCCTTTTTCCTGTGCTTCCTGGAAGCAACCAGGTAACTTCTCCTCCAGTTTGCCCCAAGATGGTAATCATTGGAACCCAATTTTACAGTTTTCTCTTTTTGTAAAGCTGTATCTCTGACCTTCCGATATATAGTTGTCTTCCCCAGTTGTGACAGCCAAAATGTCTTCAGACATTGTCCGGTGTATCTTGGATATAGAAGAGGAGGGGAGCAAAATCAACCATGGCTGAAAATTGCTGGTCTAGATTGGTGGTTCTGACTTGAGTCTGTATCAGAGTCACTTGAAGGGGCTGTTGAAACAGTGCTGGACCTACTTCCAGAGTTCTGATTCAGTAGATGTGGGAAGGGGCCCAAGCATTTATCTTTGCAGCCTGTTTCCTGGTTGATGCTATAGGTCTGAGAGCCTCGTTTTGACAGCACTTCTACAGGGTAGAACCTATTAGAAACAGAGAGAACCTTAGTGGTCCCCAAGCTCACCTGGTTATTATAAACAAAGCTGTAAGGCCTATGTGGTCCAGGCATTTCCTGGAGGCTCACAAGGAGTAAGAGGCAGTGCTGTGACCAGAGACCCAACCATGGCTCTTCCTACCTCACCCCAGCATGCCTGCTGCTGAGTTTTGGTTATTTGGTTAAGCATCTCTCCCTACTCCCCAATTCTTCCTTCTCACCTAATACCTTCAGTTCTAGCCAGAGAAGCTCTTAATACCTTTCCTTTTTTTTTTTCTTTTTTTTTTTGAGTAGGAGTCTTACTGTCGCCCAGGCTGGAGTGTAGTGGCATGTTCATGGCCATCTCAGCTTTGACCTGCTGTGCTCAGGTGATCCTTCTGCCTCAGCCTTCCAAGTAGCTGAAACCACAGGCACACGCCACCACACTTGGCTAATTTTTTGATTTTTTGTAAAGACAAGGTCTCACCAAGTTGCCCAGGCTGGTCTCAAGCCCCTGGACTCAGGCAAATCCTTTTGCTCTGCCTTCCAAAGTGCTGAGATCATAGATGTGAGCCACCATGCACAGCCTTAATGCCATTTTTAATTGGCACCTTTTACAAGCAAACCTCTGTGACTACTTTTATTTTGATGACTTTTAAGATTTTAAAGCTTTTTGTCCTTGGAAGCTGCTCATTTGAACATTAGAGGTGGGCACAGGCATTACCCAACTCAGTTTCTTAAGGAGACATCAAGTTGTTAAAATTTCAATAATGGGCTGGGCATGGATGCACACACCTGTGTAATCCCAGCACTTTGGGAGGCTGAGGCAGGTGAATTGCTTGAGCCCAGGAGTTTGAGACCAGCCTGGGCAACATAGTGAAACCTCATCTCTACAAAAATAAAATAAAAGTAAAATAAAATAGTTAGCCAAGTGTGGTAGCACACACCTATAGTCCCAGTTACTCAGGAGGCTGAGGTGGAGGGATCATCTGAGCTCAGGAAGTCGAGGCTGCCATGAGCCATGATTGTCATGATCATGCCACAGCACTTTAGCCTGAGGGACAGAGTGAGACCCCAACTCAAAAAAAATTTTTTTAATTATGATCATTTTGACAGCTGAACTCAGAAGTGAGATTCTGATCTCTTCTTATGAGAGAATCTTGCGTTTTTACATGATGCTGAATCTACTACTCAGGTCTTTATAATCATGGTATTTAAGCCACCAGTTTAGTTTCTATTTTCTTCTCTTCTGCCTTGATTCTGCCTTTTGTTTCATGGTGAAAAAAAAAATTACAAAAACTTTATCTAGCTTCTTGATGGCCCAGATTATTTCTTAACATTGTAAAACCTAATGTAAGTGCTATTTACCATCCACTGGAGTTACACTTTAATTTGGTGCCTTCTTTTTTTTTTTTTTTTTTTTTTTGAGTTGGAGTCTCACTCTGTCTCCCAGACTGGAGTGCAGTGGCCACTCCTGGTCACCGCAGCCTCTACCTGCTGGGCTGCGGTGATCCTTCCTTCCACCTCAGCCTTCCAAGTAGCTGGGAACTACAGGCATGTGCTACCACGCCCGGCTAGTTTTTGATTTATTGTAGAGATGAGGTCTCACCAAGTTGCCC